GTGGGGGGGAGGGGGTTGGGTGATAACAGTACAATTTATTTTTGTTTAATGTGTGAGGCATCATGGTGAAATCAGGTGCTCGTCAAAATAAAGAACTTGAAGATATCGGCATTTTGCTGCCCGTTTGACAATATGTATCCAATTTTGGATTTTTGGGTTTTTGGATTAACACCTGTTATGTCCATTTAAAAACATATTTCAGAGTGGGTTTTACAGAAAAACATTGATTAAAGGAACAACAAATGTAAATTTTCAATTTTCAAGGACTCTCAAGCTTTGGAAATCACCAAACTTTGGCGGCCATTTTTTCACTAATTGTACCTTTGAAACCAGGCGACCTGATCTCTTTCAATCACAAATATTTTGACTTCTATTCAACACACATTGATAGTTTTTCCCCAAAAGGAAGGCAAATGAACAGGCTGTAAGATGACACCAATAACTCTGTTTGCCCTAAAACTGTCGGGCGCCAGATTCCCCCATGTCATGACATATCTATCATCTCTCACCGTATCTCATTGTACACTTTATCTATCTGACTCTCTCACCGTATCTCATTGTACACTTTATCTATCTGACTCTCTCACCGTATCTCATTGTACACTTTATCTATCTGATTGTTTCACCTTATCTTCTTTTGTTTTTCTTATCCTATCTAACCAAATCCTATTTAATTCAATTTCATCTTGTCTTATAGTATTTTTAGAGAAGTCTTATTTTACATTAGCTAATCACATCTTATCTTGTTGAATTGATTTCTTTTTTCTAGTCTGATCATATCTTATCTTATCTTTTCTTATCTGATGTTATCTGATCTCACCTCGTCCCTGAGGTCTGGGCTGGCGCCGTGCTGTAGGAGTGTGCTGAGCGTGTCGTAGATGGGGAGGTGAGAGTGTGTGACGGCGTAGTGGATGGCTCCGGCCTTGTGCTGGGGGGAGAGAGAACACGTGTGTGTGCGCGCGCGCGCGCGTGTGTGTGTGTGTGTATGTGTGTGTGTGTGCGTGCGTGTCTGTCTGTATACTCATACCTATCGAGATCATCTCTCTATACCTCTCTATCCATCTACAATGGCGTCCAAAAGAAACTTGAAAATGTAACCCCTCAATCATCGTGCTAAAGCCTTGCATTACCCACTCATGCAGCATACCAATTTAAAATTGAACAAATTCTTCATCATCGGACACATTAATCATTCGTCTATGTTAACTCATTCACTACCCCGAGACGTGGGCAGCAGCGCGGCTAAAGTGACTTCACTACGGCAAGCCGCCCCAGACTGCTCGAAAACTGACCTATAATTCTGGCTTAGAATTTATTCGAATCCACCTATCCATGTTCTAATAAAGGTCATAATATAACGTTGACTTCCGGGTCAAGTGTTTCCATAGAAAATAGGAAGTTTTTATTCAGTTTTGAAACACACTTTCGAAGTTCATGCGACTTTGTTTCATCGCGATGCCTAAATTATACTACTCAAGACATGTGTAGTTTTATTCCAAATTCGATTCTGAATAATGACATAAGATGTATCTGTTTTGTTCTGTTTGTGAATGCATCTTATCCTTTTTTGAAATTTTGTTAAAACATTTTTTTTTCAGTATCGGATGTTGTGATCCAAATGTACAATTGTGTGGAATGTATGTACATAACTGCAAAGTTTTTCAATATTTTCCAGTTCTATATTCATTTATGGTTATTTTGATTTGTAATACACAAATCAACAACACAGATGTATTCAACAAATCATACTGAAACTTTCAGAGTATAATATGGGAGACATCGAGGGGAAATCAGGCGCTCGTCAATATAAGGAAATCAGAGAAATCCGCATTTTTCGGACAGTTTGGACATTTTTTTCTATTTCTTTTTTTTGGCTCAACACCTTGTATGCCGATTGAAAAACACTTCTATCCATGGATTTTCAGGAAAAATGTGGATTAAAGGCACAAAAATGTGAATTTGCCGTTTCCAAGGACTCTTCAGCTATGGAAGTCACCAAACTTTGGTGGCCATTTTCTCATTAATTTTACTTTAGAAACCAGGTGACCACACCTCATTCAATCTCAAATATCTTGACTTCTATTTCAGATAAATGGATATTTTTTTCATCACAAACAAGGCAAATGAACAACCTTTAAGATGTTACCAATAAATCCATATAGGCCCCTACCTAAAAATTGACGAGCGCCTGATTCCTCTGCGTCGTGACACATATGTTGATATTTATACAAATTTGTGGCCCCAAAGACCTTTGAACTGCACACTACTCATCATCTCATTTCGTCCTCCCCCCAAAAACTTGACCACAAGCCTAAAATAATACGTAGCGAATGAATTAAGAGACGCCCGAGATATCGTCACTCAAAATTGACCTTAAAAAATCAGGCTTGGCAAAATTGTGCGAAATCAAACAAAACGTAAAATTGTCTTCGCGGGTGTATTGAGGAGCATCAACATTGACAGAATGGACGTACATCACATGTCCAATGAAAGGAGGATTTTGTCTCTGCGATAAACAATATTTTGTTACAATATTTTATTACAATATTTTTTTACAATATTTTATTACAATATTTTGTCTCGATGGTTTCAAACAAAACGGAAACAGACACAAAACGTGGACCTAACAATGATAAATGTGCTCATTGTTATTTTGCTTAGGAGCCATTGGTTTTGTGTAGTGCAAGAACCCGTTGGGCATCGACTCGACAAAATTGTTGACATAATTATCTGTCCTTTCATGTCAAACATCACAGAGTTGCCAACAAAGGGTCTGAATTGGGAGCAAAGTCGCTTTTCTTCAGCTGCTGTTTCAAGGGACTTGACATACCTATAGGATTCATATCGGGGCTATTTACTGGTGACCACTCCAACGTTGATTGGCAGTGTGAAAAAGTGTTTTGCTCTGCATGGAGATGTCTACTTGAATGACACCATGAGGAACATAAAGATAAGACGTGACGTTCCAGACTTGCGCGATGTCGTCCACTAAACCAAGCCATCCGGTGATTCTCACGAAGGCGGTTTTGTTAATTCCAGCCCAGACCACCCAAAACCATGACAGTTTTCATGGCCTCTGTTCCTCACTGACAGACAATTATGTCCAACATTTACCTAACACTGTCCAGGGGCAAACAAGGTTTTGTGCTCTACATAAAACCAAAAGCTTCTAAACAGAAACAAAATTAAAACTAATGAACACGCGTATAACTGTCATGTTAAGTCCAGGTTTTGTGAGGTATTTGTAACTGCTCCGTTTTCCAGTCTGTTGGAAAAGATCACCACAAGATGCTGTTTGTTGCAGAGACAACAATGTTTTCTTTTCCTTTGATATTCAATTCATGTCCATCCCACCAAAGTTGATGCACCTCGATAAACGCACGAACACAATTTCATGTTTCTCCCATTTCGCACAATTTTGCCAAGCCTGATTTTTCAAGGTCAATTTTGAGTGACCATATCTCTGGCGTCACTAAACATAGATAAAATATCATTGTGTCAGATGATGCAGAATTTGTTTATCTTTAAATTGGTACGCTGCATGAGTGGGTAGTGCAAGGCTATAACACGATGATTGGGGGATTACATGTTCAAGTTTTTGCTGGACGCCATTGTATAAGTATTTATCTGTCTGTCTGTCTGTCTGTCTGTCCAACTGTCTGTCTCATTTCTCTCTATACCTCTCTATCTATCTATCTATCTATCTATCTATCTATCTATCTATCTATCTGTCTGTATGTATTTATCTGTCTGTCTGTCTGTCTGTCTGTCTGTCTGTCTGTCTGTCTGTCTGTCTGTCTGTCTAATCTATCAGATGTTGTGGGAGGAGTGTGAGAAGGAGGAAGATAAAAAGAAGAACAAATAAGAACATGGAAGATGAAGAAAAGGCGAGGGACAAAATAGTGCGAGAAAGAGAAAGAAATTGTAAAAAAATCAGAATGTGAGTCTCTCCGTCACGACTGTCCACTGACCTTGTTCACCAGGTTGGGGTCACCTCCCATGTCCAGGCTGGCGTGTAACTTCTGCTCGTCGCTGTCTAGGACTGCCTCGATGATGTAGGGCT